ATATTGTCACCTAGTAGCACATGGTGACTCAAGGCGGCTTACAGGAATATAAAAACATCACGTATAAAAAATAAAAATAATAGAAGAAAATAATCAGATAATAAATTAATAAAATAATATAACTGTTGTTGCCTGTCAGCCGCCAGCCCCTCCAGCAATCAAATCAAAGGAGGATGCGTGGCAGTCAGGGTCAGCATCAAGGAAACCTGGGAGCTCCGAGGGGGAAGAGGGGATGGAGCTGGCAGAGAGAGGGAGGTGGAGCCTGGACCATCCATCAGCCCTCAAATGGAGTCAAAAACCCCCATATCTGGAGGTGGCTGATGAGGAAGAGGAGGAACAGCTGGGTCCAATGCCTGACGCGCGAATGCGCAGAAGGCAGAGGAGAGGAGAGCAGTGGAAATCTATGGGACGGTCCTTAGGATGGAAGAGTCACCGCTGCTAGCGAAGCCCCATCCTAGCTCTAGGGATAAAATGCAGGGGTAGAGATGAATAGATGTAGTGCACAACTATTCATCTCCTGGCCAGCTGGACTTGTAAGCCTAAGGTAAGAGAGAAACATTTTGCCAGGGCTGCTGGTGCTCCTAATCAAGGAATCTTTGAGTTTACTTCAGAGGGTTTGGCATGTTTGGGGAGCTGGGTCAGAACAATAACAGCCACTTCCCCTTGTTTGGGTCAGCAAGAAAACCCACCACGCTCACAAAGCACTAAGGACCCCACAGGTCAACTCTGAGCTACAAATATTCTTCTTTATTGATATTTGATTACTTTCCGCTAGCACATGTCAGACAGCGATAAATTAAACGCTTCGAGGAAGTAGTGGTGTTTCATTTACAAAGAGGCGGTCTCTGGAGGCTGATTCCAGCTGGACATTCAAAAACTAGAAGAGCTCTTTGACAGCAAAGGCTCTAGAAGTCCTGTGTTTTTCTTGCTCAGACGTGGTCAGGTGGAGTCTGGACAGCTCTCTCTCTCCCTGGGACGCTTGCATTTGAGTTCCCCTATTGCAGGGATCATGGGCAGCTATGGCCATTTTACAACCTGTGGACTTCGACTCCCAGAATTCCTGAGCTAGCATTGCTGGCTCAGGAATTCTGGAAGCTGACGTTCAAAGGTCATAAAATCACCATAGTTGCCCACCCCTGCTCTACTGAATTGATCAGAGGGTTGGACATCATTGCCTTCAACGCCAGGATTCTAGCATTAAATAATGTAAATAAAATGTTATTTAGTGCCTCCAATGTGGAGATAAGAGCTGCCCTTGAAATTCAGACTTTGTGGAAGCTCTAGGAATTGCGAGGGGGAGAAGTGGGGGTACACCTTGCCTGTGGTCTTCCTCTTCTAATTCTCTCAAGTTTGCACCCGTGTTCAAGGAGAGGAGCTTCAAGAGGGGGACAGAAACATCATCACGTAACACCACAACGTATCTGAGGCAGCTGTTTGGATACCAATACTTAGGCATGTGATGACATCGCAACAGATGTGTGAATATTGGAGTGTTACTGTGGTTTATTGTGGAGGCTGCTACTGAGATGGAATGTAATGGGGAGGGGGTTTCTCAGGAGGGAGAGGGTGCTGTCCAGAAGAGAAAGCAACGACTCAGTTCAGAGAGTTTGTGTGAGAGAAAAAGGGTGAAGACAGTCCATTCTTAATAATTCCCAGCATACGGGCTTCATGTGGGTAACAATCTGGCAAGTTTCTGTCCATAACAACAAAGAAATCTATTTGGAAGATTCACCAGAGATGGGTTCCTATTGGTTCAACCCAGTTTAGCCAAAGCGGTAGTGGTATGCCGACCTGGGTCACAGAACTGGCAGCGACCCAGGCTGGCCATGCCCCCGAACCAGTTCCCCGGTCGCTGCTGTCGCCATCTTCTTCTGAAGTTCTGTTCATGCGCAGAACAATTTCCATTGAATTGTGCACGCACGCAAAGCATGTGCACGAGCGAACCAGCATCGCCTGGTTCGCAACCAACATTGGCTAGAACCCACCCATGAGATTCACTACATGTCCTCCTTGGCTCTGAGGAGGTGGTGGGATGTCTGACAACTGCCAAGCATACAGGTAGTCCTTGACATACAACATCAATTTAGTGGCCATTCCAAGTTACAATAGTACCAAAAAAGTGACTTTTCTTCAAGTTTACAACCCTTGCAGCATCCCTGTGGTCCCATGATCAGAATTTAGCCATACATGTTTATGACGATTGCATTGTCCTGGGATAATTTGCAACCATCTGACAAGCAAAGTCAATGGGGAAGCAGATTCATTTATCAACTGTGTTATTGACTTAACAACTGCAGGGATTCACTTAACAACTGTGGCAAGGAAAGTCATAAAATGGAGCAAAATTCACTTAACAAATGTCTCACTTACCAACAGAAATTATAGGCTCAATTGTGGTTGATTTTTTCTGCCCCATCATCCACTTTGCTTTGTGGACTTTAACTCCCAGAATTCGCTGGCATAAAGTTGCCAAGGTTTGGGGACCCCACAGTAGGGGATGATATTCAACTTATGATATTGAACTTAGGAGCCATGGTGGCACAGTGGTTAGAGTGCAGTTCTGCAGGCTACTTCTGCTAACTGACAGCTGCCTGAATTTGGCAGTTCAAATCTCACCAGGTTCAAGGTTGACTCTGCCTTCCATCCTTCCGAGGTGGGTAAAATGAAGAGCCAGATTGTTGGGGGCAAGAGGCTGTAAACTGCTTAGAGAGGGCTGTAAAGCACTGTGAAGCGGTATATGCATCTAAGTGATATTGCTACTGCTATTATTACAGTCCAGCTAATAAATGATCATGTATCCCAGGAAATGAGGCTACTCGGGAATTTGTGCCATCTCATCTTCTCCCCCTCTAACCCAGATGGAATAAGGAAAAGAGACATTTCAAGAGAGACATTTCCAAAGGCTCCAATACTCGGATTCGTAGAATTCTTATGTTTTTGATGGCTCAGTACAAGACTTGCATTCTGTCTCTTATTTTATGAGCTCTCCTAATGGCTGAGATTTGGATGGGACAAATACCTTGTGAACCAGGGAAGATAATTTTATTTATACCAGGGACTGGATCCCCTGGAAGGAATTGTTGGAGGAATTGCAGGCTCACTGGGAGGAAGAGGGGAGGGAAGGAAGGAAGTCAAATCAAAGTTGGGCTCCTGCTTTCTGCTCAGTGGCTCATTTCCCACCACATCAAACTATAATGGAGTTGTTTGGTGTGGCTCATGGAGTGGTGCAATTCAGCCACTGGGGCTTGTAAACCATGACTGACGGCTCACCAACTTGTATGAATGCAGCCAGTTGTAGTTAATTCAGTTGGGTGCAGTTAAACAGATCACATCATGGGTTATTGGCCATCTGCTTTCCTTTCTTTCCTGGGAATCTCAACTTGCCTGCAGTTTTTTCAATTTAGGGAGCCTCCAGCCCCAAAGCTCCTGGTTTTCCAACCCTGGGCTAAACAAGGGAGAAAGGAAGGGGTGCTGGGTTATTTGCTTGCAGACATTTCATGACCTGAGTAGGTAGCATCACCAGTGCTAATAGGTGTGGGGTTTGCCCTCTGTTTATATGCACAGCATAATATTTGCATATAAAAAGAATATAAAGCCCACACTCAATAGAACTTATAATGCTACCTAGTTAATCAAATGTCTGCAAGCAAACAACCAAGCTCAAGTGTATCACGGACCCCACAGTTCTCCCCTCCCCTCCTCCTCCTCTTCCTCCTCTTCATAACCCCCCTCCCTTCTAGCACTGATGATGTTACTTAGTTGAGTCATGAAATGTCTGCAAGAAACAACCACGTCAGAGAGCACCAAGGACCCCACAGTCGTCCTCTCCTCTTTGCAAACCCCTGTCTCTTCTTGCACTGATGCTGTTTCCTAGTTAGAAGATGAAATGTCTGCAAGCAAACAACCACGCTCAGAGAGCACCACGTTCTGCCCTTAGCTACAAATATCCTTTTCTGAACAAAGGACTGGCTGGATCCATACAGAAGAGCTGTAGAGAAGCAGCTGAGCAGCTGGGGTAGACCCATGAAGAAGAAGAAGCCTAGCTGGGAGTAACTGCTTGCTTGAAAAAGAGGAGAGGAGTCTCCAAGCCCAGACGGCTTGAGGAGCAACTTCCTTGGATGGAAATGGGGCCGCTGAGATTTCCAAAAGAGGGACCAGCAAGTGGATATTGCATCCCTCTTTCTTCCAGCAGGATGGAATTGGAGTGATCCTAAGAGTGGCTGGAAGGAAGCATGCCAGGCTGGGGAAGAGCATCATTGTAAACAGAAAAGCAGACAAGCAGAGCACTGGGAGGTCCAGAGGGACAAAAAGCAATCAATGTTTCCTGTCAAAGTCAAGAGAAGCAGCACTGAAGAAACTGGGCCCAGGGGAAACCTTGCTGAGAATGAATTTGGAGCACTTTGTTGTTGCCCTATAAGACAGGCATGGTCTTCCCACTGCANAAGAATAACAGAATAAAGAGAATAACAAATGTAGAAGCAGTAGTGGGTTCCTACCGGTTTGGACCAGTTCGGCCAAACTGGTAGTGGTTTGGTGCCCTGGGTCCCTGGAACCGGCAGTGACTCAGGCCTGCCACGCCCCAACCTGGTTCTCCGGATGGTGCTATAGGTGCCGCCATCTTGTTTTTTGCTTCTGCACATGCGCAGAACAATTTTTATTGTACTGTGTGTGCGTGCGCGTGGGGCGCAACCACGAGCGAGCTGGCAGTAGTGGCTGCCAGAACCCACCCCTGATTAGAAGGGGCTTTGGAGGTCTTCTAGTCCAACCTCCTGTTGGAGCAGGAGATCCTGTACCATTCCAGACAAATGGTTCTCCAGTCTCTTCTTAAAAACATCCAGCATTGGAGGTTTCCCAAAACCTCTGGAGGGAAGCTGCCTTTTCTGCTTTTTCAATTCTTCGTTGGAAGAAGGAATCGTGCAAAAAAAAAGAAGTAACGTTGGTCTCTGAAATCTGAAATGTGCAACCAACAAGGGTCTCCCCATCTGTCCTTCACATGTTAGGAAGCTGGCAGCCAAGCCCCACATGGCAACCACAAAGGGGGACCAAGATCTAGTCAAACTCCTACTCGAACGCTGGAATGACCCAAAATCTGGCCTCGACAAGGCCACGGAGATGCGGTACGACGTCTTTCTGTCCTTCCCAGACCCAGAGAAACCCAACAAGGTGGCCGTGGGTGAGTATGGGGGCAAAGGACTTGGAAGGAATGTCCCTCTGGGTTCAGTTCCAAGTGGGGGGAAAAGACCCTGGAAACATGGAGGCTGCTTGGAAAGATGGTTTAATGGTGGTGGGTAGGACCACATGGTTTGAGATCCTGGGCCAAGAAAAAGGGAAGAGATGTTGAAACTGCCTGGGTTTTATGCCCTCTCTGGGCTTTTGAATTTGAGCTTGTGTTCTGATTGGTTGTCAGACCCAGCTAGGGCCATGCAGGGGTAACTTCGCAGGTTGTGTTTTGAGTCCTAAGCTTGGTTGACTCTTGCTGGGAAGCAGTGGTGGGTTTCAATTTTTTTCGAACCTACTCTGTGGGTGTGGCTTCCTTTGTGGGAGTGGCTTGTCGGCCATGTGACCTGGTGGGAGTGGCTTGTCGGCCATGTGTTTTCTTTCTTTCGTTCTTTCTTTCTTTCTCTCTCTTTCTCTCTCTTTCTCTCTC